ATCCAGCTCTCTGCTGTAGCATGGGAAAGCAGTAGAAGATGGCCCAACTCCTTGGGCTCCTGCACCCGCATGGGAGTCCAGGAAGAAGCTCCTGGCTCCTGGCTCCAGATCTGTGCTGCTCCAGCGGTTGTGGCCACCTGGGGAGTGAACCAATGGAAGGAAGACCTCTCTCTCTGTCTCTACCTCTCACTGTCTGTAACTCTCTCTCTCAAATAAAAAAAATCTTTAAAAAATTAAAAATCTTCAAAAAAGCTTATTCAGATGTCTATTTCTTAAAAAAAAAGGCATGGATTTAAAAACCTTTTTGTGCCAGAAATAAACCTGTACTAACTTGCTACTACATGTCTGAAGAAGATGAGGCACTATGAAGGATGAGATAAAAGTTAGAAAATGTTCCTATCAGACCGACATAAATTCTCCTAAAATCGAGGCAAGAACAAATATCAAACTCATGCTGAAGCCTGGGTATAAGAGTGGTGAAATCACTGATTCTTTACTAAAAGCTTATGGGGGTAATAAGAAATCAGCAGTTTAGAAGTGGATACCTTGTTTTCAGAAGGAATTAGAGAAAATTGAAGATGATATCCACAGCAGCCGATCATTCACATCAATTTGCAAGGAAAATATTGTTTGTGCCCTAATTGAAAAGAATGCTATTTAACAGCAGAAAGAATAGGCGACACCAGAGACACCCCAACTGGTTCAGCTTACAAAGTTCTGACTGAAACATAACCGTGTAGAAACCTTTCTGATCAGTGGGTGCCAACACTGCCACACCCAGATTGGCTGCAGACAAGAGGAACAAAGTGATGGATGTTGTGAAGGATGGGATGAAGATCCCGAAGCTTTTCTTGAATACTTGTCACAGTTGAACAGACAAGACTTTGTCAATATGATGTTGAGAACAAAGCACAAAGAAAAGGCTACTGAGGGGGTAGAAGTAGTCTTGTTAAACCTAAAGCAAATCAGTTGGGAACCAAAGTCATTGCAACAGTTTTGTTTGTTTGTTGTTGTTGTTTTTTGGTGCTCAGGCACTTTGATTGTTGAATTTCTAGAGGAAGAAAAAAATGATATCATCTGCTTATTATAAGAGTGTTTAGAGAGAGTTAGCCAAACTGAAGATACCCATAGAGTCTTTCTCTACCACACCAATGGTCATGCCTTTCTCTCACCAGGTAAGAGTGATTTTATGATAGGAAACCATTAGGCATCAACCTAACAGTCCTGATTGGCTCCTTTTGATTTACCTTTGCTTCCTTATCTTAACTGTTAATACTATAAAAAAGACTGTGTTGATGTGGTTAAATCCCAGGAACCTGCGATTATTCAGGGATGGAATAAATGGCTGATATCATCACATTAACAGATATCTTGAGGGGCCAGTGGGTTAAGCCACCACTTGTGATACTGGTATCCCTTATTAGATGTCAATTCTGGTCCTGGCTGCTCTGCTTCTGATTTAGCTCTCTGCTAATGCATCAGTGGAAGATGATTCAAGTGTTTGAGCCCCCGAACCCCACATGAAAGAAGCAGATGGAGTTCCTGTCTCCTGGTTTTGGCCTGGCCCACATCTGATTGTTGCAGTCATTTGAGGAGTGAACTAGCAAATGAAAGATCTCTCTCCTGCTCCTACCCCCTGAACAAATAAATAAATGAACAAAAATTTTAAAAAGTATCTTGAACTTTATATAGCATATGTTGAGAAATATAATTTACATTTTTTAATTTTTATTCTTTAACTTGAATTTTCACCAACCTTTTGAAGTTCCTTGGTATGTAGATTCTTAGTGTTTATTTGTAGATGGTTAGCTCACTAGATCAAGGTCATGCCCAGACACTGGCACTTTAAGTCAGCACAGGAAGTAATTCTCCTGCCATTGGTCTGGTCCATCAGATATTTACATTGCTAGATTAGGTGATCTTTATTCCAGCCTAAATCTACTGCAATATTCATGTTGAAAAGGATATATTTACAATGTTAGTCAATACAGTTATTGAACATACAATGTCAGTGAACATATAATACCACTTGAAATGTGCATCTTAAGGAAGAGAAATTTTTGCCTTCTATTACTGGTTAGTTTACTTCTTGAATCCTATCTGTTATTTTCTTAATTTGGTACTCATTATGTATTATTTTATAATTTCTACTTAAGATAGGCTTTTGTATATACGTTCATGTTATCTGGGTGATGGAAAAATTTAACTGCCAGTTTTAGCGGCCAGCACCATTCCCGTAACAGGTTTCCTGCAAAGGTGAAAAATGTAAAACTATCACCATGTGTTTGCTGGGAATTATCACAAAAAGCAACTGGAAAGAGACCAAACTCTGAATTATTACACTATTGAATTCCACTCGTATTGTAGAAAATAGGAGTATTATGCTGACTTTCAGACAAATAAATATCTTGTCTGACGGAGGTTTAGCCTGTAATAAGAAATAAGATTTGAAAATAAACAACTGTATGTTATTATAAAAGGAATCCAAAAGTCCCTCAATCTTAGATATGGCTAGTTTCCATGCATAGCAAGTGATAAAGACTCCAGCCTTTCTCCACATTGGATGAGTGCAGTGAATTCTGTGTGATTTCCATCTGCCTACCAACTCATCCTTTCTCTGACAACGGTATCACAGTTTTTCCCTGGGTGATACAACTTCTCTCACTGTTAGGTCATATCCTCAGAGGACAGGAGGATGTGGAGCACATTTCTCTAGGCACAGTAATTGGATTCGGGGTGGATATGAGACAACTTGGATGAGTAAGAATTAAGCTTTAGGTTTTGTTGAATAACTGAAGAGAACAACTATTCTTCATTTTGCTGCATATAAAGCTAGAAAATATGGGACTAGAAATGCTGACCATTATATTGTTATTTTCAAAGTCTAAAACTGGAGGCCACTTGTTGAAAATGGAGCCAAAAAGTTAAAGAGACAGAGAACATCCAAGACCTCAAGGTGTGTTTGAAGCTTACAGTTACCCCTTGGATATTTTCCTGTGTGCTGATATAAAAAGGATACTGCAACAAGTTTGTGGAGAAACGGAATAGAAAAATTATTTTAGAGCAAAAATATTTTAAATCTTTTATTTATTTACATATTTGAAAGGTGGAGAGAGACACAGAGAAGAGATATTTCCCATTTGCTGGTTCACTTTTCAAAGCCTACAACGGCTGGGGCTGGATGAGGTCAAAGCTTGGAGCCTGGAACTCAATGTGGGTTTTTCTTATGCGTGGTGGGGACTCAAGTACTTGCACCAAAATCTGCTGCCTCCCAGTGTGCACAGGAGCAGGAAGCTGGAATTAGAAGTGGAGCTGGGACTTGAACCCAGGCACTCTGATATGGAATGTGGATATTCCAGATGGTACTTCAGACACTATTGCCTCAAGGTGTCAAAATGTTTTAAATTTATGCATAGTTTTTTCATATTATGCATCATCTATGAACTCATTGAAGACCCCACATATGCATAGATTTCAAAATTTTATTTAAAAATTTTTAATTTATTTTATCTGAAAGACAGACACAGACACACACACACATACACACACACAGAGAGAGAGAGAGAGAGAAAGAGAGAGAGATAGGCAGAGAGAAGAGAGAGTTTTCTATCTATTGATTGGTTCTCCAAATGCCCGTATGAGCCAGGACTGGGTCAAACAGAAACTGGGATGCTGGCACAAAGGTCTCCCACGTGGCTGGCAGGGTCTCAACTACTTTAGGCATTATCTGCTGACTTTAAGGGTTCAAGTTAGCAGGAAACTGGATGAGAAAGAGTAGCCAGCTGGAAACTGGCATTCTGGTGTGAGAATCAGGCATTCCAGCCAGTATCCTAACCACTGCACTGTCTGTGTGGATTTCATTCTTTTTTACACCAACATAAACTAATCTTTTAATTTCATTTTCCATAAACATTTGGAAGTACCTTGTGTGTGTGTGCATGTGTGTACATGTGTATGTGTGTCACTTAAAACCAAATTAATCCTGATTCACAGAATAGCTTGCTCAAACCATATAAATCCTCTGACCTGTCAAGTTTTGTTTTCTTAAAAAATAAATTAAAAATAAGGGTATAAATCTTAAAAGTAATCTTAGTTCTTTCAAGCTATAATGCAATTATTAGGATATATAAGCATATACAAGAAAAAAAGGTTATAAAAATTGGTAGTAGCATTTCTCTTGAACAGTGGGGATTCAGAACTGAGCAGAGAAACAGTTTTCACTCTCCACCCTTATGCATTAATGGGACTTTTAAGTTTTATGATACATTCATTTTACTTTTAATGATCACAATTATTTGTTCCAAAAAAAAAGGCAAACTCTTTGATAAGTGATTTCATGGTTATTATTCCTACAGAACATTCATGTTTTGAATTCAACATCTGACGGTACACAAAGTGAAAAAGTATATCTTTCCATTTATTTTCCCCCCAAATCTGCTAAACTGATGATAATACAAGCATTTAAATTAATCTTCAATGCTTCAAAATGCAGCATACACTTTCTTCTACTTAAAATACTTTGTCAGTTTTGTATACAATATTCTCTTCCTTGATTTTCAGAGTATTAATTCAATTTATCTAGATGCCATCTGTTCAATTCTTCTAATCCTCAGCTCACCCATTTTGAAGTCAAGAAGCCTCAAAGTAAATGCATCATTCAATTGGAGGACTTAGGGGTGCTTATATAATTCGATTTCACTGCCTCTTCTAGCCTCAGGGATGGGGTAGGCTGTTTCATTTTATTTCCCATTGTCCCCACATCATCTTCTTGTTTGGCTTTTGTTGAAGCGAGCTTATTGTAATGACAAAAGTGAATCTTCTGCTCAGAGAAATAGAAACACAATACATAGAAATGAGATCCATAATGATGACTATGAATTGACTGTTTTTATCTTCTTGTGTTTTCTTTATCTACTTTGAATGATATATAATACAAAAGGTGGCCTTTGGAGACTACTATTCTGCCATTAATTTTCTGCTCCTTCTCCCTTCTCTTTCAGGTCCTGAGTTGCAATATTGTGAATAATTTGGGATTTAAGCAATGGACTTGAAAGGAACTTGTGAGGATATATGTATTTGTATGGCGCTCTAGGCCCCATGTTGCAAGTTCACTCCAAAATAGCATGAACTCACATGAATAATTTTAAGGATAATAACCAATTCTAATTAATGATAGTTAATTTAAATTATTTTCCATCAGCTAATTTACTAAACCTTTTTAAAAATAGATTTAGTTACTTATTTGAAAGAAAGAGTTACAGGGAGAGAGGCAGAGACAAATCTTTGAACTGCTGGTTCACTTCCCAAATGGCTGCAATAGCCAGGGCTGGGTCAGGCTGAAGCCAGGAGCTTTATCCAGGTCTCCCATGTAGGTACACAAGACCAAGGACTTGGGCCATCCTCCACTGCATTCCCAGATGCATTAGCAGGGAGCTGGATTGGAGGTGGAGCAGCTGGGATACCAACTGTTGTCCATATTTGATGCCAGAGTCACAGATGATGGCTTAACCTACTGCCCTATGGTACCAGCCCCACTAAACTTTTTTTAAAAAATATTTATGCATCTTACTTGAAAGTCAGAGTTAGAGAGAGAGAGAGAAAGACAGAGAGACAGAGAGATTCTGCTCACTGGTTAACTCCCTAGATGGCCACAACAGTAAGCGCTGGGCCAGGCAGAAGTCAGGGGTCAGGAGCTCCATCCAGATCTCCCACATGGATAATCAGGGCCTAGACACTTGGGCTGTCTTCAGCTGTTTTTTCCAGGCCATGATCAGGTCGCTGGATCAGAAGTGGAGCAGCTGGGACATGAACTGACACCCATATGGGATACAAACACCACAGGCAGCAGCTTTACCCACCACACCACAATGTTGGCCCCCTATTTTACTGAATGTTTCATGATCATTTAATTACATGAAATTATTATTCCCACTATAGAGATGAGAAACAGAGGCACCTAGAACCCAGGGTGAATAATTTAAAATAATTTATTGAAGGGCCCACCTATAGGAATTTGAAATCCTGAGGCTGGCATCTGATTCCATCTCCTGTGCTCTTTAATCCTTTCAATGAGTTCAGACTCTAGAGAGGCAGATGACAATGTGAACAAATAGAAAACCATGAAAGCAGCATTGACCAGCCACAGAGGGAGATCAAAGGGAACTGTGATGAATTCTGTCCGGGGAGCAAAGAGGCTTCCTGGAAAAAGTGACATGATAGACAGAGTCTGAAAGATGAATGGGTGTTGAACAGGTATTCACAAATGTGGACCCACAAAAGACATGAGCAAAATGCAAAGAAACGATGTTATTCACAGATCTCTGAAATATAACCTTAAACTCTGAGAATATATAAATTGGAAGGCAAAATTCTGAAACTACAAGTCAAAGCTGCCCTACTGAAAGAGTTAACTTTCTTTAGTCTTCAGGGATGTATTTAGATATATGATTATATAGGATAATGCTTTGTAAACTATACATCACAGAGAGAGATTCTTTTTAAAAGGTTTTAGTGATTTGAAAAGCTGAATGATATAGGGGGGAAGACAGAGAGAGGGAGAGAGAGTGAGAGAATCTTTCACCTACTTTTCACTAACCCAAATGCCTGCAACAGGCAGAGGTGGGCCAGGGCAAAGCCAGGAGCCAGGAACTCCATTTGGTTTTCCTAAGTAGGCAGCAGGGCCCCAAATAGTTGGACCACCATCTTCTGCCTCCTAGGTGCATTAGCAGGAAGATGAAGGTTAGTTAGTATGTAAACTTACACAGCTTATCGACTGCATGAGTGGCCTTGATTCTTTATCTGTCTTGGTATCCTGAATTTTCACCATATAACATTGGAATTCTTTCCATCAACATACACATTATACTTTCTTACTCTTGAATCTGGGTAGCATGGGTATAGTGGATATAATACTGAGAGACATTAAGGGAAGTAGGCCCTTGGGAAAAAAGGTAAGACAAAAATACATCATCTTTTAAACAAAATAATGAGAAAGAAAGATAATAAGCCCATATGATCATTCTTATTGTGTTTGCGCTTCTTCTACCAGGAAAATCTGTCCAAGAGAACCTGCTCGAAGAGGAAAACCACCTGCCCCATCTCTTCAACCAGCACCACTGAGAAGGATCTTGAAAGCAGCAACCCGTGGGCTTCGGAGTAAGAGGGAGTCCAGCCCTCATCATGTAAGTCCACTCTAGTCAGCTGCAACCTGCAGACTTGCAAGCCAAATCCCCATGCTTATTGTGGTTGACTGCTGAGTTTTCCATGAGTATTCGCTCCACCTGTGGATAGTGTGGGGGTTACATCACCAGCCATGCAGCTATCCCAAGGGCAAATGTGAAATATTCTCCTCTTTTCAATGAAGCTATGCTGCTGTGTCAAGTTTTGCCTGCTCACATAGCATCGTTATGACAACTGATCATTGATACAGTAGGCATGAAGGTTTCATAGCAGCATCAATACCACGAACTCTTGCAAGTCAGTGGTTTCTATTTATTTTACATTCCTATTAAAAGTGGAGACAGCAGGCATATGATACATGCATTCTAGGCTAACAAAACTCAAAACAAAAAAAAACACAAAAGAAAAAATAGCAATCTAAATTATTTGGCAGCAGTATGATATTTCATGTTTATCCTTGGGGAAACTACAGAGTGAGTTACTGTAACCCATTGCTTGTCAGTAAAATCACAAACAAATTTTACACAGAAATAGCCAGGAGCTAATGTAAGCACAATAGGTAGACGTGATAGGTATATCATAACCCAGCATTTAAAAAATGTTATTATTGTTCTTGCATGGAAGGTTATGATTCCAAAAGTCTTTAAAATTTCAGACATGGAGGGACTGAAATGACATTCGGAACGTTTTTGAATCTTTTGTAGTACAAGTTTTTCAGACTCTTCCATCTGTAGATAAAAACTAGCTGACATTAATTCCAAATAAAGATTATTTTATTTCTTCCTAATTATAATGATAAACATGCTTAATGTAGAAAAGTAGAAAAAACAAAGTAGCATTCAAAGGAGTACAAATGATTCTACCATTAAAATACAATCTTTGTGAATATGTTGGTATTTTAAATGTATGTTTAGCTTATTTTATTTTAGTGATGTAGCATACTTTTAAACACAGTATTGGGAAGTTTGCATTCATTTCTTCCTTCAATTTTCATAACTCAGTGAGGAGATATCAGCACTTTTGGAAATATGGAAACTAACAACACAGTAACAGAAATTTTGTTAGCATGTTGATTTCTTCCTCTTGAAGTAGAACTTCAGCACTCCTTTTCAAGAGTCTCCCAGTACTTTTTAAGACTTTATTCCCAAAAGTCAAACTTAATAAAAACAGAATGAAAAAATCATGCACCTCTATGTATCCATCACCTAACTTTACCAATTATCAATGCATGTTCATCTTGTCTCAATTTTAACCCATTTTCATTTGTTAGTTTTTTTTTTTTGACAGGCAGAGTGGACAGTGAGAGAGAGAGACAGAGAGAGAAAGGTCTTCCTTTGCCGCTGGTTCACCCTCCAATGGCCGCCGCTGCAGCCGGCGCACCGCGCTGATCCTGGCAGGAGCCAGGAGCCAGGTGCTTTTCCTGGTCTCCCATGGGGTGCAGGGCCCAAGCACCTGGGCCATCCTCCACTGCACTCCCTGGCCATAGCAGAGAGCTGGCCTGGAAGAGGGGCAACCGGGACAGAATCCGGCGCCCCAACCGGGACTAGAACCCGGTGTGCCGGCGCCGCAAGGTGGAGGATTAGCCTATTGAGCCACGGCGCCGGCTCAACCCATTTTCTTCTTGTGTTCATGTGAACTTCTTTGTCTGTAGTCCACTTAAGGATAACTCACCCTGCAGCTGCTCAGGGAATAAACATGAAATACTCTAGTACCTTTTAAAAAATATTTATTTTTTTTATTTGAAAGGCAGAGTTGAGAGAGAGGGAGAGAGAGAGAGATAAAGAGTCAGTCTTCCATTTGCTGATTCATTCTCCAAATGGCTACAAAAGTCAGAGCTGGGCCCATCTGAAGCCAGGAGCCAGGATCTCCTTCTGGGTCTCCCAAGTGGATACAGGGGCCCCTAGGATCTGGCCCATGCTCTGCTGCTTTCCCAGGCATATTATCAGGGAGCTGAATTGGAGGTTGAGCAGCCAGGACTCGTACCAGCACCAATATGGGATGCCACTGCCACAGGCAGCAGCATTACCCATCCACCACAGCCCCTGCCTCTCTAGCACTTTAAAGAGGCTGGGCTGCTGTGTCAATTGTGTTTAAGAACATGTTCCTGGTGAGCACCGTTGTGGGCTGAACTGTTTATACTAGAAGACAAGACTAATAGAAAGAACTGAGATCTAAGAGGCAAAACTGTACATATTGCCATGGCATGTACACACCTACCTAGAAAATAAGAAAAAGTCAGACCCTTCACTGTTTGCAAGCCACACTTGGCTTACCTGCAAGAGCCAACTCCTACCACTAAAATTTTATCATGAGACATCATGAACTCAGTTCTGGTTCTCTTGCTGTTTCTACTGCACCTGCACTTACTTCCTCCACTGAAGTGTTGAACATGAGGGGTAAGAACTGACTTCTTCAACCTCCTGTTACTGATATTTTGATCTTCTGCCTACTGCATGAATGTGCTTAATGTCACCCAGAAAGGTGAATCCTTTACAGACAGCTTTCCATTTACTTCACCCAGATCCATCCAACCTACGGCAGCTGTAGCTTTACAAAAATGTATTTCTTCAATAAGAAGACCTCAACGCTGAAATGACTCCTTGATCCACGGGGCTGCAGAATGGATGTTGTGTTGGCCGGCATGAAAACAATATTAATCTCATTGCACATCTCCATCAGAGCTCTTAGATGGCTGGATGCATTGTCATTGAGCAGTCACCATTATAGAAGAAATCTTTTTTTTTTTTTTTTTTTATTTTGAGCAGCATCTCTCAATAGTGTGCTTAAAATATTTAGTAAACCATGTTGTAAACAGATGTGCTGTCACCCAGGCTTTGTCATTCCATTTATAGAGCACAGACAGAGCAGATTTAGTGTGATTCTTAAGGGCCCTAGGATTTTCCAGAAGGCAAATGAGCACTGACTTCAACTTGAAGTCACCAGCTGCTTTAGCCCCTAACGAGAGACACAGCCAGTTGAAGTTTCGATGCCAGGCATTGACAACTCCTCTGTAGCTGTGACATTACTCCATGTCATTTGTTGGGACACGAAACTATTCATCTATACTGCAAGTCTGTTGTTAAGAGTAGCCACTTGCATCCAGGACTGTCTGGATAACTTGCTGCACCTCGCCAGCAGCCTTGTGGCTTCACCTTGCTCTCTCGGGTGCTGGAGGCAGCTTTTTCCCTTAAATTTCTGCCAGCTTCCAACCACTCTTCTTCAGCTTCATCAGCTCCTTCTGCCTTCACAGAACTGAAGAGAGTTAGGGCATTGCTCTGGACTGGGTGCTGACTTAAAGCAATGTTGTGGCTCCTTTGATATTCTATGCAGACCGTGCAAGCTTTCTCCAAATCAGTGATTAGGTTGTTTCTCTTTTTTTTTTTTTTGTTTTTTGTTTTTTTTTTTTTTGACAGGCAGAGTGGACAGTGAGAGAGAGAGACAGAGAGAAAGGTCTTCCTTTGCCGTTGGTTCACCCTCCAATGGCCGCCGCGGCCGGCGCGCTGCGACCGGCGCACCGCGCTGATCCGATGGCAGGAGCCAGGAGCCAGGTGCTTTTCCTGGTCTCCCATGGGGTGCAGGGCCCAAGCACCTGGGCCATCCTCCACTGCACTCCCGGGCCACAGCAGAGGGCTGGCCTGGAAGAGGGGCAACCGGGACAGAATCCGGCGCCCCGACCGGGACTAGAACCCGGTGTGCCGGCGCCGCTAGGCGGAGGATTAGCCTAGTGAGCTGCGGCGCCGGCCAGGTTGTTTCTCTTTCTTCTCACCCCTAGGCTCACAGGAGGAGCGCCTTTGAGCTCCTTCAGGAACTTTTCTTTTGCATTCCCAACTTGTCTGTTTGGCATCAGAAGCACCACTTCTGGCCTGTCTCAGCTTTCAACATGCTTTCCTCACCAAGCTTAATCATTTCTAGCTTTTGGTTTCAAGTGAGAGACATGCGATGCTTCCTTTCACTTGAAGTCTGAGAAGCTGTTGTAGGCTTCTTAATTGGCTGCATTTCAACATGTTTATCTCAAGACATAGGGAGGTCCAAGAAGAAGGAGAGCGATGGGGCACAGCTGGACAATGGAGCGGTTAGAACACACACATTAGCTGAGTTCACTGTATTCTGTGGGTATGGTTTGTAGGACCCTATAACAACTCCAACAGCAACACTGAAAATCATTGATCATAGATGAACAGAGCAGACACAATAATAATGAATGAGTTGGTTGTTAAGACTTCTTAAAATGACACAGAGAAATCAAGTGAGCACACACCTTTGGCAAAACGATGCCAATTGACTTGCTTGGCACAAGGTAGTCACAGAGCTTTAGTTCGTAAAACCTGCAGGATAACTTCACAGATAATGTGAAGTGCAATAGAAGAAGTGCAATAAAACAAGGTGAGCCTATCCTTGGTTAATATTCATGAAGCCTTCCACCCAGTGTAGTCTGTCAGGGCAGATGGAAACCCCAGCCTCTGTTCTCGGCAAGTTTGCACCAAAGTGTCTGGGTCTATTTACTCACAATGTGCTGATGTTTTGACATTCTCTTGCTGTTTGGCCTCATGAATGAATGTCTCATAACACTTCCATGACTGGAAGTGATATCTCAGTGTGCCAAAGTTTGACTTCTTCTGTTGCCACAGGCCATCCCATCTCATCTCCTCACAGAATAAAAGTTACCCTAAAGGCAAAATAAGGTGGCAGTCCTAAACGTCTCCGATTTTTGCCTCTTAGGCATAGTCTTGGTGGATGAGGAAAAAAAAGTATGACTGCCACTTACCTCTACAGCATTTACATGTATATGACAACACATTTCACCCCAGTCTTGTGACACTAAAATACAGATATCATTATTTTCTTACTATTCTTTAAAAATTAAAACACGTTCACTGCCAACACAATATAAAATGTAAAAGCTGTAACATCTGAAAAGCAAAACAACTTCCACCTTACTTCCCAATTCTCCTTGGAAATTATCATTGTTCATTTGGTAGGCACATTTGTTGACATTTTTCTGTGCTGTTGTATAAATGCTCCACCACTTACGGTGAAATTATATACCAACAGACCCCATCATGAGTTACAAACCCCGTGATCTGGAAATGCATTCAATTCCCCTGATCTACTGAACACTGGAGGTCAGAAACATGGTGCCCTGCCAAGCACTGATGGCTTCCCCTATCATCACTGGGCTGATTGGGAACCTTTACCCAGCATTTCAACACAGTAGCACACTGCACACTGCTTTTTGGGAAAAGATAAAAATTCAAAGTATAGTTTCCACTGAATGCTTATTGCTCTTATGCATCATCATCAAGTTGGAAAATCTTAAATCGCACCATTATAAATCAGGAACCATCTGTATACACATGTGTGTGTGTGTGTGTGTGTGTGTGTCTGTGTGTTTCTAAGTATAGACATACACAGTGCAGAGGAAACATGAACACATCTGTTCATATATATTGTGGCTCTTTTGGCAAAGTATGTTGACTCTAAAATACCACCAATAGCACAGGACACCTTTATTTCATGTATAGGCTCAAGACTGTTGCTTGGGGTGACTACTGTGATCCATCAGGTTAAGCCAGCACCTGGGATGCCTGTATCCCATTTCAAAGTGCCTGGTTTGAATCTCTGCTACGCTATGCTTCTGAAACAGCTTTCTGCTAACATACCTGAGAGTTAGCATATGATGACCCAAATACTTGTGTTCCTGCCACCAACATGGGAGAACTAGATGCAGGTCCTGGCTCTTAGTTTTTGGCCTGATCCAGCTCTAGATGCTGTGGCCAGAGTGGGGAGTGAAACAGCGGATGGAAGATCTCTCTCTGTTTTGGTCTTTCCCTTCCTCTATGTCACTCTGCCTTACAAATAAATAAATCTTAAAAATAGTGTTGCCTGGCCCATGGCAATTAGAAGACACCATCTTGTTATAACGAGGAAAATGTGAAAGATAAACATCTTAAAATCTATGAAAAAGTCACCTTCCTTCTCATCTTTTTCTTTAACAGTGTAGCAGACATGTATTTTCACTTCAGTGGAAACAGATCCACCTCTTTTGAAACTGCTATATATGATAGCCTATTTAGCTTTCCACAATTTATTTAGCCATTCTTGTGTTGTTGAACATAGAGGTTACTTCCAAATTTACTCTTCAGAAAACCTTTGATGAATATATTTCTCTATAACCATTTGCATATGTATGTGAACACTTAGAGAACATATGCCTAGAATCACAATTAGGGGTTAAATATCCTGAGCCAGTAAGGTTTTCCTATAAAAACTGGTGTTCTCACTGCCTGTGTTCCAGATGAGAATACTGTCATCTCAATTATCTTATGCGTATGTGGTCCATAAGGGGCAGTTCAGGTTGCACATCGCTTTCTCTCTCTGGGGCAGCATTCCCAGCCCTACATCTCTCTTTCTACATTCTCCTTGCTCCTTTCCACCATGGATTCATCTTTGATTAAACACAGAACAGTGAGTGAGTTTAACGAGGCAGCATTTCAGCTTTTGGAGAGAGGCGTTCATTTTTTTCAAGGCTTCCAGGCTGACATTTATGGGAACAGCTGTGTACTTTGTGGGCATTTAATGACCTGCGATGGCAGAGACACCTAAATTGTTTGCACACACAACTGAGCAATTAGGTGCTGGGCTGATTGGTTCAGTTCCATAGAAGCTGTTTCTATTGTGACAGTGAAGGAAAGGAAGTCCTCGGGCTTCTGGGCTCCATGGTGATTGCCTTTGAATTGTCCTGAATCAGCCTGTCCAGATCTCTTGACATATTCCAATTTTGCAGGCTTCCAGCAGACCCTGCTCAGCTTTTTCCATTTCTCTCTTCCCCAAGAAGAAGAAGTGATCAGTGTAGACCCAAGATAGTCATACAAAACCAAGAAAATTTTGCTATCATCACACTCATGCAATGTTGACTGGAAATAAAAATGTATTCAAAAACACATCTGGGGCCCGTGCTATGACATAGTGAGTAAAGCTGCCGCCTGCAGTGCTGGCATCCCATATGGGTGCTGGTTTGAGTCCCAGCTGCTCCACTTTCGATCCAGCTCTCTCCTATGATCTGGGAAGATGGCCCAAGTCCTTAGGCCCCTGCACCTGAGTGGGAGACCTGGAAGAAGCTCCTGACTCCTGGCTTCGGATCAGCTCAGCTCCAGTCATTGCGGCCATCTGGGGAGTAAACCGGTGGATGGAAGACCTCTCTTTCTCTCTCTCTCTCTCTCTGCCTCTCCTTCTCTCTGTGTAAACTCTAACTTTCAAATAAATTAATAAATCTTTAAAAAAAACTCACACCTAATGATCTTGATTGATAGCCAATACTATTCAAGTCTCTCAGAGCAGTTATTTGCAAATGTTATTGTGCATATAAATCCCTGTGGCCCTTACTCAAATGCAAACTCTAATTTCATGGGTCTGACGTGGGGCTGAAATGCTGTGTTCTGGCCTAGGTGATGCTGAGGCTATGGGTCTGCAGATTTCATTTTCAGCATCTGCCAGTTTTATAAATAAAGTTTTATTGTCACACAAGCCTTCCCTATTGGCTTATATATTAACCTGGCTGCTTCCCCACTGCATTGACAGAAACAAGTAGTTCAGACAGAGACCTTATGGTTTTTACTAACTATCTGACACTTTAGAAAAAATATTTACAATTTCAGCTCTAGATTATTCCTCTGATCCTGAATTCTTCCTGCATAACACAGATTTTCAACATTCAAACAACCTTCATAAAGGTTTATCAAAACACTGTGTCAAAAGGGTGC